GAAAAAAAAAAAAAAAGGCAAAACCCAACCAAACAAAAAGAAAGCCCCCAGGAGACAGTATCTGGGTTGCTTGCCACTGACAGCTAGCGCCTGGGCAACAAATTCCTTGGGGAAGCAGGGCCATGGAGGCAGAGGTCATGTGAAGCTGATGGCTCTGCGGGCAGCCGGAGTCACTCCGGAGCCATCCAACACCGCTTGTTATCCAGGGGAAAAGGCTCATCTCGATAGAGCAAATCTGCTGGAAAGTGTGTGAGAAGGGACTTATTTACAGACTTATTTTGCCAATTCTCATGTTATCAGATACTAAAGCAAAGGAAAAGCTACTCCATCTGCCTGATTTCCACGGAAGTGGCACACAGCACAGCTCGCGGGGCACGGGCAGGTGCTTAGTGAGCCACTTAGGCCAACACAGGTGGATCTTTCCTCCCTCTAGCCCTCAGCCATCTCTCAGTCCCTCTAGCTCTCAGGTATCAGAACATATTAAAAAAAAAAAAAAAGCCTACTTGGAAATCTGTTCTACCTCCATGAGATTCCCAGATCCTCTGTGACAGCTCCAGATTTTCCTCAATTACAGAAATTTGATAATGTGTATGTACGTTGTTCTTCTACATAACCGACAGTTGCTCAATGCAAGCCTCAGAGCAGCAGAGCTCATACCGACTCCTACAGTTAGCTTTGCCTAACAGCCCCCAGTAACATGCTATATTTTAATAATACATAAATCACAACTACTTATTATTTATGCTGAGTGGAGGATTTAGTCCAGGAATTTGTGTCAACGTGAATGCCTTTTTCACAAGCTTCAATTTAAATGTTCAATGGTTTTTATGGGGGAAAAAATGCTGTTTACCCAAATGAAATTGCTCTTACAGTGGTTTAACAGAGAAAATTTCGTGCTTTTCATGCTGAAACAGGTGCTTCAGACTTCGCCTAGAAGGACTGGCCATTTGTCAAAGTGTTTCAGTGATAAAGCTTCAGAAAGGGCTTCCATGTTACAATCCGGCAGCCAGTTTCTTCAAAGGGTTGATCGATGGAGCATCTTCCACCTCTACGCTCAGTCCCATCGATCTAGGCCACCTCCCTGGAGCAGCTGGGCTTATTTCATCCCACGGCTGAAGAAATGGGGCGAGATTTCCGCTATGAGTGTAACTTCGGTGCTAAATCTGAGTGTGATCCTGAGGAGCAAAATAGAAAGTCTCTACAGATGGCCAGTCAGGACAGTGAAAACCTGTCCGATGCAGAGCGGTGAAGGGAGAAGTGCACAGAAGCTGAAGGCAAGAACGGCAGGCACATGAGTAGGTACTAACACAAGGTGATAACAAAATGCTACAGAAACAGGGCAGAAGGGTTTGATGAGAACAAAGCAATCTGGGTTTTACTGATGGTTTACCTACAACAAATAATTTATTTTCAAGTCCCTCTGCCTTTCTGAGAAAAGGGAATAATGATATTGAACTGTTTTGTAAAGCCCAACAAAAAGGGAATGTTGAAGAAGTTTGTCCTGCTTTCCAAATATTACACAATTGCATTTTTTGAATGTCATATTGAGATATTTGTACACATAGGTGTAAAATTAACAGAGCATGTAATAGATAAAATATTGCTTGCAAAACCAACACAGACAAAACACAATGGTTTTCACTTAGGCAAGCAAAACACTTGGAGACCTGTTCATTTGTGATATAATTTCCTTGGTGTAAAATGCACTGAACTTTCTTAAGCTGGTAACCCTCATACAATGTCTCAAAAAGCGTTATATTTTTATTTATTACTTTAACTGGGGCATTTTCCATTTCCATTTGAATTCAAACCTTGCTAAAACTTCATTATCTCCATTTCTAAAGTTCTTGAACTTGTAAAGTTCCTCTCCAATTCTTAAGAGTTCTTATTTCCAATTGCTATTACTATGTGATAATAGGATGTGTAGTTAGAAGAAGTAAGGATTTTCTACACAGACGTTTGAAACAGCTAGGTGTCATGGCGTATGAGAGATATGGTCTTAAAACAGGAGTGAGAGGTAAGAAAATCTATGCTTTGGTCCTGTCTTTGATTCCAGCTTTATCTACAGTATAAATTGGAGAAAAACCTCTGCTGTGTGATATCAAACACAAGAAAGAGGAAATAGAAAGCTTGATCAGAAATTAAAGGAGAAAAGTTAGCAGCACAGCACAAATAAGTAGTCACCCTCACATTTACTTCAGGTGACAGCTGCTGTCACCAGTCAAATTGATTGCTCTACTTAGGCGATTTAGGAACACTGAGCATCTCTCTCTAGGTTCCCAATGAGTTTTACAAGAATCATTGTGTTTCACTTGCAAATCAGCATGTAATTATGTGAGAGGTGTTACTGGCTGCTGTGATAATGTCCTAACCCTTTTAAGCAAAAAAACACCAATTTACCCTTCCCTTTCCAGGAGGTCTCCCCTCCACAGAACCAAGTCTATTAATTTACTCATTTTAGGGCACTAGAAAGCCTGAGAGCCTGCAGGTCTACCTGGCAGTTTTACCTAGCTTTGTTAGCAAATTGCTTTTTCACTGAGCTACAGGAGGTACAAAAAATCCAGAGGAAATGGAAGCTGCAACAAAAAGAAATGAATTTGCAATCAATCAGAGAGAAATATAAAAGAAGAAATAGGTACCTGCATGTTCTTGAGTTTCTCCTTTTTTAAAACATTTCATCAAGTCATCAAGTGCCTGGTGGATGAGCCCTGAAGAGCCCTGAAAGTGTGGGTGTTCCCCTCTCAGGGGCTCCCAGATGTCTGGTTTGTACGAGAGTGGTTGTCACTCATGAAACAACAAGTGTAGTCAGCCCAGTACCGTTACCAACAAATGCCTAAGTAAGAGTGTAAGAAGAAGGTGAGATGAAGTGACATCTCCATTTCTGCACCCCAGAGATTTTTCCGACTTTGGAGAGGTCACAAAGCTGTATGCTGGCGCAGCAGACTTGTAGTTAGTAATTCCTGATGGACTTCTCATCCACAAACTCCTCTAGTTTCCCCTGCAGTCCGAGTGAATGACTAACACCTTGTGGCAAGGAATGCCACAGCTTAAATCCCCTTTGGTGGGGAACCCCTGCTTTGCAAGAACTTGGTCCCGGCTTTGCTTCAGCTGTTTTCCACCCCAGCCCTGCTGGTTATACCTCCACAACTTCTTTCGTAACCCTCAGTCAATTCACTTCTGAAATGACTAGTTCCACTTTACTTAGTTCTTCAATTTAAGGCTTTTATTAAGGTCTCCTTTCTGCTCAGCCTCTAATGCCTGATGATCGGAGCAAACAGTAACATCAGGCCTGAGTTAGAATTGAATGTAGACTTAGAAAAGCTGTTGGGTTGGAAACTGATGTGGACTCCAGCCACTTGCTCTTGTTGTTGGTTACATACGTTCCTTTTTTTGTGTACTCATGATTATAATATATGGATAGATAGATAGAGCTTGGGAGTTTGCTGCTAGAACATACCCTTTGAACACAATCTGATTTTTTTTCCCCTCCTCCAAGTGACAGCAGCAAAACACACGATTTTCTGGTTTCAGTCATGCAGACTCATGCGGGTCGTCAGTCAAAGCGGTGACACTCACCCTGCGAGTGGGGGGAAATGGCTGAATGGCCCAGACGAGGGCCGTGCTGCCTGGTGCCGCCTGGTTCCGCCGGGAACCCTGCTGGTGCAGAGCAGGGGAGCGCGTGCCCAGTGCTGCGAGGAGAGAGGGGCCCAGGCCCTGGGGCAAATGCTAGGGAAAAAACGGTCCAGAGTAATTTATACTACTGTAGGCCTGAAAAGGTGGTTTTGTGAGGCTTGGAGAGCATGCCCTGAAAGTGCAGGATTGTGGTTGTCATGAGGAATAGATAGAGAGAGAATGACAAGTGAGGGAGAACTTGCACGTGAAGCCAAGCAGATCCCCACAGAGATATTTATGCGCTGCTGCTGCACAGCTCCCGTCTCCCAGGACAGTGATTCACGGCTGCTCGCCCAGGGTGGGGCGGCCAGTACTTTCCTGGATTGCTAAAAATAAAGCTGAAGCATGACTAAAATTTTACTCATGAAAAGGGGGATCTTGTCTAAGCAATAAACCTGTATTCGGAACGGATTTTTACCCCGGGTGTGGATAACAAATGCGCGTCTCCAGTAACGCCCAGGGCGGGCCGCAGCCCCTCCTTGCCGCGCACACGCACGGAGCAGCGGGAGCTGCCGCGGGCTGCCCTGCCCGGGGCCCGCTGCGGGGCCCGACCCTCCGTCCTCCCGTGCGTTTTCCATATTCGTGTAGTTTTTATCGGTGAACTGTTCCGTTTCTAACTCGTTCGGCGTCGCGAGCAGCCAGGCCCCGCCGCGGCGCCTCA